ATGTACAAGTAAAAAAATAATATATTTTTAATACAGAATCAAGTAAAATTAAATTGAGGGAGTAATATGATACTCCATTTTGAACCACTTTACTTGTAATCCTTACTAAAAATAGATGATTTGGAGTAGTTCTCATTTTAGAACACCAAAATATAATTGAGTACATTATTCTCGTTTTGCCCTTAGTAGGAATTATTCTTAAAAGTAATAAACGTTGATTAATTGACATAGAAAACTTAATTGAAGAGCATATATACACATACTTCAATATTGTGATTAAAAATACTTTTTGAAGAGAGATTAACATTTTAATATACTCTCTGCATTTCAATTTATTTGTCGTACTTATTTTTAGTTTAAATACAATATTTGTTACTTAAATTCTATTATATGGTATCATTTAAATCTATCGTTAGGTGATGACAAAAAAATTCATTTTATGTAATGATCGATTTGGTGTAATTGCATTGTTATTTAAATATTTTCTTCATTTATTATTTAATAATTTATTTTATCTTTTATCCTACCTTTTTACAGTACATCTACTCGTATCCTACTTTTCTTGTAGGTTGATTATTCAAATTAGGAATTTGTGACATTATGTAACAACAATCAACACAGAAAGATACAATCTATCCAAACATAATATTCATGATAACAATACAAAATAATATAATACAATACGATACATTATGAAACAATAGTAACAATTGTCCAAACAATGTAATAAAACAAATCAATTCAATTTAATTGTGTTGTGTGTTACGTATTCACATTTCAACTCTAAACCAATGGTTTGATACAAATGGAGACAATGACTTGTCAACAATGTATTTCTCCTCCAATTTATCCCACAATGATTGCAGCCTCCCTGCATTTCCACTTGCCGCTTGTTGCAGAATCGATAACCACAGACAGGTACTTTGTTAATCCATATTCAATTTCTTACAACTCAAATATATATTGGAATACTTGTTATTTGTGTGTGTTTATTGTCCATTAGTAAATCGCGTACAATGTGTTTGTGAAATTTCCCAAGTGAACTTTTAAGGTAGTGAGAGTTGGCCCATTAGATAAGAGCCTGTAACTTCTTTATACTTTTTTCAATCTACTGAAGTTTTTTGATGCCTTTTGTCAAAGTTTCACCTGCTTGTGTCCACTCATGGCTTCTTTCAAGATTTTGTCAGCCATGACACTTTTCTCTAAGCACTTTTAGGCCGACCAAACATTTGAAAGTAGATACATATTCTCTTAGAGCCCGTTTGATCATATGAGATGAAATCATGATATGAAATCATAGGCAACAAAGAAAATACACCAGCCAATAGGAAAACTCCACTCGAGCCCTAAGGTACATTGTCCAATAAAAGTAATCCACCTGGAAATACCGTTACGTGAGCCAACTATTATTCTCCCGTGATTCGCAGGATCTTATCCAGACCTGGTTGACGTGTCTTTGGGCCACAAGTCCCTTTCTTCTTCTTTCATGACCTTGGGCCATGAGTTTCCACCTTTTTCTTTAATAACAATCACTTGTTGATCCGGCAATGAGATAAAATCAAACGGAGTGGATGTGCAACAATTTAGGTACTTAAACGATGACATCTCGAAGGAAGCTCTTCCCGATGTCTCTATGCTAAATCATCCTCCGGTAACACTCTGATGCCAGGTGTCCCTTTGTTATAAGTGTCCACATATACATGATAATTTTCCCTAATACAGATAGTACCCCCGCTTTTCGGATACTTTGCTAACTTGTAACCAGAAAGCAGAGTATTTTCAAAATTCCTAGGCGGGAAAGTAAATGAAACGTCTCTTGACATTCACAGAGGCGAATATCCCATCGCTGTAAATGCGCTTACCATGCATCGTCTAGATCCTGATCCAGAAATGGCGCGGCAATCAAGATAATGATGACTTCTTCGTTCATGAGTCTATAAATAGTGCCCTTTGTACCAATTCCCAACTTCTACAATTTTCCAAGCTTCTCTTCATCTCTTTGATTTCTTGCCTTTGATCCTTGAATCTTCAAAACTTCACATCTCGTTATATTCAAACCTTCTTATTTTCATTCTTTCCCAAATTTTACCAACGATGTTTCGTCTCCGACTCATCCTAATTCTTCTCTCTTCGATGGTGGCCCGAAGGAAAACAAAAAAGTATAAGTTGAGGCCCCAGAGCCTTCAGTTGATATAATAGTTTTGAAAACTGGCCAGTGTTACTGTTTCTCCAATCTGTGAAGAACAACTACCCACCATTCGGTCCAACTGTAAGTAGCCAGAAGATAAAGTTAGGGTATTTTCTCCTGGTATTATCGAGAGCTTAAACTTCTCCAAACCCAGTTATTTGTTTATCTATTCTTACTGCTTCGCTCTCAACTTCAGAGACCCAGAAATAGATGAGGTTTTCATCCGATTCTACTAGTTCTACCAGATATGTCTGGCGCAAGTGGGTACGGTCGTTTGAAGGGCCCTGGCTTGCCTCTGAGTGTTGGCTGAGAAAGCCAGTCAATCATTTTCTTTGGATTACTTGATCTTGCTTTATTCTCCTTGCACAAGTCTAGATAATGATCATGACCACCGTTGGATAGAGAGAATTGTTATCGTCACCACCGAAGATATTGTTCTGGAGTACCTGATTCCAGAATCATGGAACCTTACCCACAAGTCTTCATTCTTTCGCACATTTTCTCTCTTTGCGGTCTTTTGATACCCTGTTTTAAGTTCATATAGAAATTTATTACTCAGCGCATGTTTGGTTGTTGTTTATTGGCTCCCTATCTGGCAATGGTTTCAAAGGTTTTGGACATTGCCGTGTCCAAAGATCGGTCATGGAAGCAAATATCCGGCGTCAAAGGCTAAAAAGCTAAAATCACTGTATTTCTTATTAATTCTTCTCTGAAATACTCATATGAAAGTATATCCATTTTTTAAAATATATTTTTGTACACATAGGTCTTCCAAAGGGTTCGTCCGAGCTGCGAACCAAAAGAGTTTGTTACTCCGTTGGAAGCTCGACAGTATGTGACTGTGTTCTCAGGGTCAAACGTCCCTCATAACCGGCCATTGCTGCTGAGGAAACAGTTGTGGCCTCTAATTCTTCGCCACAAAAGAAGAAAAAACCTGATAAGGCCTCAACTGTTATCCATGGCAATGGATTGATCACTGCTACCGACTGAGTCTTACATTGAGGAGATTTGTGATGATGCCTTACCTCTTACAAATAAGAGATCTTCGGCCACCTCTATCACAGACCTCTGTGAGGTCGAACAATTGTACGTTAAGGCCGAACATGTCGAAATGGTCGAATCTCGTTGGCCTATACCTTATACTCATAATGGCTCAGGGTTGGGTGCAACAAAGATCATATCCCAGCCTTCATCTTCCCCCTGGAAAACTAGTTTTTTTCATCTCGGCGATGGCCGCTCTAGTCCCATCTTTGAGGATAAGGGTTTATTGGTTTTTGAAAAAGTTAACCTTCTCTAAAAAATAGTCATGGTGGCCGACTATTTGAAACGATACCAAAAAAGACCAAGGCGAGATAGACGAAATCTCCCTTGCATGTTTGCTTAATGAGGGTATTCAAGCTTGTTAGAGTGAGTAAAAGTCACACATTGGTTGGAGAATGGACTAGTGGTCTCCTTATATGGACTTGAGCAATCCTCCCTTCATGAGCTAGCTTTTGGGGTTGAGTTAAGCCCAGGTGCTATATCTTTACATGGTATCAGAGCTAGGTCCACATCTCCATTTGGGCTTCGGTCCACGCGGTAGCTAAGCCTGGGCGTGAAGGGGGGTGTTAGAGTAGGTAAAAGTCCCACATTGGTTGGAGAATGGACTGGTGGTCTCTTTATATGGACTTGGGCAATTCTCTCCTCATGAACTAGCTTTTGGGGTTGAGAGTTAGACCCAGGTGTCATATCTTTACATGGTATCAAAGCCAGGCCACGTCCCCATTTGGGCTTCGGTCCACGCGGCAGCTAAGCCTGGGCGTGAAGGGGGGTGTTAGAGTAGGTAAAAGTCCCACATTGGTTGGAGAATGGACTGGTGGTCTCTTTATATGGACTTGGGCAATTCTCTCCTCATGAACTAGCTTTTGGGATTGAGTTAGATCCAGGTGTCATATCTTTACAAAGCTTGCGTCATTTTTTGGTATATCCGGCATCCTGAACCTTTTTGGAATAGGTTTCGGTGTGGCGCTGGCCTTGTATGGTAGTTAAGAGCAACTTTGAGGATCTGGTCCCTTCAAGGTCAGAGATGCTCTGGGGATCTAGTTCAGGAGGGTATTCCTTCAGGCCCGACCTGAGTTCATACCTGATAGACTGCAGCATCAACGTTCCAATCTTGAAACCGCTTCCCGACCTGTCAGCCCTGTATTCTTCTGGAAGGGCCTTAGCTGCGAAACGGATTCTTGATTCTCTTTGTGGTGTGGGCGTTCCCAGTGGCGTCTGCCCACTTACTCCGGTGTTGTTAGAAGCCATCGTCGCCAATGCCTTCTGCAGATCTACCACCCTTTTATGATCTGGGATCATGAGTTCCCACCTTTTTCTTTAACAACAATCACTCAGTTGATCCAACAACGAGACGAATGCAAACAGACTGGTTATTCAACAATGCAGGTACTTAAACGATGAATATAAGATTGAGGCTAGAGAGATCTGAAAAGTGCATTAATATATGTGCTAGGATAACAAAGTAATGGCTACAAAAGTCCAACATCAAGATATTAACGATTATACATAAGATAGTGTTTTAAAATATTACACTGTTTTGGGTGCACATAGTTTATTAAAAAAAGAGATTTCAGGATTTATTGTTACTACGAACAACAATATAACGACTATGCATAAGATTATTTTAATATTTAACAATTTTCGTGAAGGCCATATGCTTTTGGAAAGCATGCATGAGACCTAGTTTCTGCTTAGTGCTTCAGAAGTCTGCAGGACAAAATTACAATTGTATCATATATAAATGAAAAGTTAAGACTATCTCACACCATTGTTATCGTCCTCCTTCTTCTGTAATTGTCACTTGATTGTTAGAGAATTTTGAGGCAGAAGACAATGTGCTAGACGTGTGTGTTCTTATAACAAAAGCTGGTCGATTAGGTCTCTGAAGACTCAAACCTTCTCCTACCAACATTACAATGACATCTGACATTTTAGGACGATCATTTGAATCTTCTTGCACGCACAAGAGTGCAACATTGATACACTTCATCACTTCACTTCTATTGCATGATTCAAGTAATGACTTCTCTGTTAATTGTATTGCCCTTTCTTCTATCCACATTCTCCATGCCTGTGATAACTTCCAATCAGATATCAAAACTTGCAAAAAAGACAAAAATGATGTAGGTCTGAGTTTCTTCACTTACATAACCTAACAAGTTTAATGCTTCTTCTGATTGGTAAAATCCTGTATTCTTTCTTCCACTGATTATCTCAAGTATGACTACTCCGAAACTGAATACATCTGACTTGATGGAAAACAGACCATCTGATGCATATTCAGGAGACATATAGCCACTTGATCACACCATGTCGAAAACGTGTTAGATGTATTTTACAAAAACAAAAGGAAATAATGATCGATAGGAAGGGATGTTATACTTACTAGGTCCCCACTATTTTCTTTGTCTTTGCTTCTGTTCTTTTTCCTTCAACAATCCTCGCCAAGCCAAAGTCTGCAATCTTGGGATTCATCTCCTCATCTAGTAAAATGTTGCTGGTTTTTAAATCTCTATGAATGATCCTTAGTCGTGAATCATGGTGGAGATAAGCAAGACCTCGTCCAATGCCCATTATGATGTCATAGCGCTTCTTCCAATCCAATAATTTGCAAAGTTTTCCATCTTGCATAGCTATCATTAGAACAAATAGAATGACATCAATTAACAAAATTAAATCTTGTTATAGTAGCTTGAGAATAAAGAACAGATCTTGTCAAACTTACCAAATATGAATGTATCTAAACTTTTATTTGGCATATATTCATATAGTAAAATTTGTTCCGTTGCATTGATGCAATAGCCCAATAGTCTCACCAGATTTCGATGTTGAAGCTTTGCAATTAGAGTCACTTCATTCTTAAATTCATCCATGCCTTGTCCTGAATGACTAGATAACCTTTTCACTGCAATTTCTTTTTCGCCAGGAAAGATGCCCTGCCAAAAGATTTTCATCTCATTACTATTGGTCAATGTGGTGAGTCCATACCAGTCCACAGAGATGTAAGATTGTAATTTTAACCTTGTAAACAGGACCAAATCCTCCTTGTCCGAGCTTATTTGCATTTGAGAAGTTGTCTGTAGCAGCCAAAATGGTCTCCAAGTGAAAGTATGGAACATCAATCGCTTCATCACTGTTTTCATTCATCAATACTTTTGCTTCTCCTTCAGCTTTGTGCCAGTGAGATTTATGTGCCCCTTGAGTACCTTTACTTCTATCTGAAATAGAAAGGGGGGGGGGGGGGGGGAGGGGGGGGGTTTCATTACCTCAACTGGATTGAGAATGAACTTTGATATCAAGTCCAAAACGGTTAAAAAAATATATATCTTCTAGAGTTAGATTCATTCAGAAAATACCTGCTCTTTTTGCCATTCTTCTTCTATAGTAAATGTAGCTAAAGCTGCCTATGATTAGAAACATCAAAGCTGTTATGGACGAAAGGAGTGCTTTTAGCTTCATCGATTTCTTAGCTTTAGTTTGAGCTGAAAGTAGAAATCCAAAACCATGTTAGATATATTAACATCTATCTTGAAGAACTTTGATGCAAACATTCATTGGACCTCAGAACTTTATCATTAATACTTTTTAAGAATTATTTCTATCTTAAGTTCTAGTTTGCTCAACGAACTCCTCAACACAGGAAAAGAAAAAGGAGAATCATTGTTGTCAAGTCCTAACATTAATAAGGAATTCTATCCATAACATAGTACCATTATGAAATAAAGAATCAAGCTATATTATACTATGTTATTCTAACCTAAAGGTGAGCCGCGCCTGACAAATATAGTCCTTTCTGTTTCATTTTTGCTGAGTTGTTGCAGATTGAACAGTTCCCCTGTCCAGATGGAACAAGTACCGGAACCATCATAAGTATAAGCAGTGCAAGAGCAATTGTTGAAACATGCAGATCTACACTGTGAGGCTTCCCCAACAGTGATATTAATATCTTGAGAAGCAGGTACTCTCATAATTGAACTTATCCATAAGCTATCTTTGTCTTCAGTAATTGCATTACACTGCACCTTTTGGTCTCTTAAACAACCACCATTTTCTCTATCTGATGGCTTGAAACCACTCAAACAATTGCAGGTTGCATTAGATTCATCACAAACTCCAAATGCCCCACATTTAGCATAAACCTCACAAAATTCTCTCGGTTGAGACCAGAATAGATTCCAATCAATGTTACCATCAAACCATGTTTGTTGCTTAAATTGTCCTGAGACATCCACGAAGAATCTTGATGTGATTGTACTATTATAAAGGGAATATGTAAAATATGACTCATTCTCATTATCGGTGTATCTGCAATCATATATGTAGCTAAACCTCATTTCAGGTACTGCACTGAACATTTGGCCATCCCATGAACCACTTGCCCAATACTCTGTAGTCCTATTCCATTTTATAACAACCTGGGCATGCTTTGGGTCTATTTCCACAGAATACAATCCTGGTGCTGGATCACTTAAATTCTTCCATGAAGCCAGAACATGTTTTCGTTGTGTACGTTTATCATATCCAAGTTTAGCACCAGGCAAAAGTGTGTGTGTTGGGTAGTCAAAACTTTGCCAAAGTAATAAGGGTGTTGATGCCTTTGACACATCAATCAAAATCAAATTTCCATTATCACGAAGAACTGCAGTTACTGAAATATTTTGATTGATATTCCCTGCACGTGCTGTCCAAATTGAGTTTCCAAGTCCATCGAGAAGCACCAGGTTGCCTTGACTAATTATCAAGTTAGCATTAGCACGTTCAAGTGGTTTATCCCTATTTGCTACGCATACTACTGTTTGTGGGTATAATCTCTTGTACCATATGCCTAGGTAGTAGGAGCGAGAGTTGCCTGGTCTGAAGAACCCAAGCTCAAAGTTCCCACCTGAAGAGATAATTGTTTGGCCTGAAGAAATAGATTCATTCGCAGTAATGGTGTCCCCTCTGAGGGAAAGATTGGTGTTGAGGCTAAAACATAAAAGTTGCACAAGAAGTATCAGAATAGAATATCTGTTCTTCATTTCTATGGCTGCACAATTTGTTGATAGAATGAATGGTTGTTAAAAGAAAAGATAGAGAATATGAAAGAAGACTTTTCTGCTTGAAGTTTGAAAAAAAAAAATCATCTTTTGTCTAAAAATCAAAATTTAGACTTTACTTTTCGTTAGTCTTCCAACTGTCAACATCACCCTTCTATTATGATATGAATAACTTGACGAATGCCTCGGGTGGAACTTAATAAGGCTAAATCACCAAATATATATGTATCTAAACAACGTTGATGCAAATATTCAGTGGACCTCAGAACCTACCATTAATATCTTTTAAGAATTTATTCCAAGTTTAAAGAATAAGGAGAAGGAGAATCATTGCTGTTGCTAAGTGTTAATGTTTATAAGAAATTCTACTATGTTTTAGCTATTCTAACCTTCAGGTGAGCCGCGTTTGACAAAGATATTCCTTCCTGTTTCATTTTTGCTGATTTGTTGCAGATTGAATAGATTACCTCTCCAAATTGAACAGGTACTGGAACCATCATAAGTATAAGCAGTGCAAGAGCAATCATTGAAACAAGTAGATGTACACTGTGACGCTTCGCTAATGGTAATATTAGTATCTGGAGAAGCAGGTAATCTCATAATTGAATTCATCCAAAAACTATCCTCATCTTTATTAATAGCACTGCACTTTAACTTTTCATTTCTTACACAGCCACTCATATAATCGTTCAAACTCCATTCTCTGTATGATCTAGGCTTGAAACCGCTTAAACAGTTGCAGGATGAATTAGCATTATTGCAAACTCCAAATGCCCCACAATAAGCGTAAACATCACTTCTCTAGGTTGAGACCACAATAGAGTCCAATGAGAGTCACTATCCAACCATACGAGTTCGTTAATTTTTCCTGAGACATCTATTTTCAACTTTGGTGGCCTTGAACTAGTATAATTAGAAAGGGAATATGTAAAATATGATCCATTTCCATTGTCGGTACAGTTGTAATTGTACGTGTAGTCTAACCCCATTTCAGGGAACGGGCTGAACGTATGACCATTCCATGAACCACTTGCCCAAAACTGTTTAGTCCTATTCCATTTTATAACAAATCGGGCATGGCTAGGGTCTAGTTCTAGAGAATACAATCCTGGTGCTGGATCACTCAAACTCTTCCATGAAATCAGAACCTGTCCCCTTTGTGTAAGACGTTTGTCGTATCCAAGCTTAGCACCAGGCAACAATGTATCTGTTGGATAGTCAAAACTTTCCCATAGTATTAAGGGTGTTGATGAATTTGACATATCACTCAAAATCAAATTTCCATCGTCACGAAGAACTGCTATGACTGAATTATTTGGAGTAATAGTCCTAGCAACATGTGTTGACCAAACTATACCTTGAAATTTATCCATAAGCACCAGGTTGCCTTGAAGAATTGCTAAGTTAACAGTACCATAATCAAGAGGTTTATCCCTATTTGCTACCCATACTACATTTTGCCATAAAATAGTGTTCTTGTACCATATGCCTATGTAGTAGTTGAAAGAATTACCTGGTTTGAAGAAACCAAGCTCAAATTTCTCACCTGAAGAGACTATTGTTTCGCCAAATGAAAGAGATTTATTCGCGGAAATAGTGTCCCCTCCAAGACACAGATTACTGTTGAGACTGAAGCATAAAAAGAGTACTAGAAGCCAACGATTCTTCATTTTGATGGCTACACAATTTGTTGAATATGGCTGAGGAGACTTTTTCTGCTTTGGAGTCAATGAATGTAGTCAAAACAAGTTGATATTTCTTATTGCTAACATACTTTCATTTTTCTTTTAACTAGTGGCGGCAAAAAGTAGCAATATTGAAAATAATTTTAATCTCATAAGCCAAAGATTTTAAAATAGATTTTAATCTTCTTACAATCTTTTTTCAATGGTTGTAAATGAATTATATAATCCCAGTGACGTTGAGCAACGTATAACAAGAGTGAGTATAAAACTTAATATCATAATTGAATTGTATAAGAATAAAATAATGTGAAGATGAAGAAATTCGGAGCAAAAATAAATTAAAACAAAAAAGAAAAAGGTAAAAGAATAGGGGGACAAGTGGGGAAATAATGATTGTCCCCAAGGAAAAGAAATTAAATCACAAGTATTGAAGAATAACATCATGTCATGCGTCCCAACAATTTTTGTCACTGGAAATTTGCTTGGACGGTGTGTCAAGTCAATTCTGAATTTGATTTTTCTTTTCAAATTATTTTGGAATAGATTATTTTATTTGAGACTTTTCTACACCTATAAATAGTTCATAAACATGTATTGGAGGTGGTTTGAGAGACCAAGGAGTCATCGTAGAGCAACGCGAAAGATTTGATAATGAGTTTTTCCTTCCTTTTTTCTATTTTTTTTTATTGGTTATGAATTTTATTAGTGTTTTTTTACATACTTTTATGAGTAGCTAATTTTCTATCTAAAGGGGATGTATATGTGTTTGGCCCACATAAAAGTGGACTCAAATTTAATAATTTATGTAACAGTAAGAGTATATATGAGCCATTTTTATAACGAGACGTATATCATGTCTAAATGACAAAGTAGAAGAGTATATCAGACCCTTTTTCCCATAGAATAACACCTTCAATATAAATCATAATAATGCAACAATAAATGCAAATTACATCAAACATAGCAGAGCAAACAGTAGTGAATATATGCAAGAAAATATCAGAAACCAGTGGCCATATACCACTTATATATTTTGATCATAATACATAAGTTGTTTGCTAGATAAATGACATTATTCAAGCTACCATAACAGAACAGTTTAAGATGAAACTACTAAGCCGATTTCGACCACTGTCAAGAGGTTTCCACTGCAACTCAATTGCATCAGGATCTGGACAGCAAGTATATATGGCCATGGAATTACCCGAATAAGAAGCTGACGATGAAGCAGCTCCGATTACAAGAAGTTCATTTCCCAATGACTTGAAAGCAATTCCCCATCCTCTGTTTGAATCAGCTCTCACTGGCACTTGTCCTAACATTTTCCAAGTGTTGGTTTTTTTCAGGTAAAGCTTCAGCTGGTTTGAAGATGCCTCGAGTGAGTACAGCTCGTTGTTCACGACAGCAATGAGGGGTGGTGAGTGGCATGTTAGGACTGGATCATCCTTCAACATGTCCGGAATCAGCTCCCACTTGTTCCTACCCTCATCGAAGAATTCTCCACAGGTAAGCTCTCCGTTCTCATTCCTCCCCCCGATCACGTAGAATTTCTTGTCCATGTAACATCCTGAACAAAGCTTCCTCTTCCTCTTCATCCTCGGTAGTAGGTCCCACGATCTGCTATCGGGGTTGTATTTCTCAGCTGTGTCATATACCTCACTATTCGCCATAATACCAACACCACCAGCAACAAAAACAGAGGTGCCACAAGTAGCTGATGCAAATAAACATCTTGGATTAACCATAGAGGGACCTTTGTACCAACAATTCGTTGCTAATTCAAACCTCCATATAACTAGGCCATCGATTTCCCTACCCGAAACAAGTAAATGTGTGCCTGCACAAAGCGATTCCTTATCGCCAAATGTGAAGCACACATCTGATGGTAAGTCAGGGATTTTCCTCCGGGACTTAAACTCTCGATCAAATGTCCACCAGTTAGTCTCCCCACTTGCTAACATATATACCGAAGGTTCTTTAAATCCATTCTCTTTACGAATCTCAAATATCTCACCACTCTTTAGAAGCATTGAACATCTCTTATTTACGAGGCAAAGTTTCCAATACTCCCACCTAGGAAACCTGGCTAGAATCTCACTTTCGAGTTCATAGCTAAGTGAGGGATAATCTGCATCCTGAGGTTGTCTATCTGAATTTTCACCTCTCGGAGATTCAGGTCGAGAGATTCTAACTTTTTTAGATGAATGGCTCTTGAAAGTGACCCAATCACCATATCTAAGATGAGATTTGTCATCAAGATCATAGTTAACGCGACGAAGATCCAAGTCTAGCTTCCCTTCTTCAGGTTCTATTTTGTTTAAGTCCAACATCCTCTTAAACCTTCAAAGCCTCAAATCATTTGCAATTAGCCTGAAATAGGAACAGAACTGATAACGTAAAGCTAAAATAGATAGACAACTTGGATCACAACAAAATATAGCAAATCATGTGAAATCAAGATAAAGGAGAATCTCAGTAACTCAGTTGGTTGTCTGCGTGTGTGAGTATTCGATTCCCCACATTGTAATCCCTTTCTTAGGCCCTCAATTTTATTTTATTTTTTTAAAAAAAAAGTGAATTCAAGATATAGCCTCAAGAATTGAACTTAAAAGATGAAATAGAGCATCTCTTCCTTTTCATGCATTTTGAGAAAACTAGCTAAAAAGTGTGACAAAAGAAGGGGCAATAAGACCACTTTAGTATTTGAGGATGTTAATAAAAAAGTCTAGGGGCGGAGCTAGAATATCAGCTACGGAATCAGTCTGAATCAGTAGTTTTAGTTTAAATCTTGTATTTGTCTTTAAAATCTTTTGAATTTATACATTTTATCAATTTAGAACCCAGTAACATAAAAGATTAGAATCTAAAACCCATAAATTTTAAATCTTGGTTCCGCCTCTGTCTAAAACTTTAAAAAGAAATCAAAGTATTGTGCTTGAAGCAAGCAAGTAGCACCTAACAAATTAGTCCATATAACATACCATATTTATAAAACCATTTTATACCTTTTCGAAGGTCAAGAAAGTTCCACTTTCCTAATGGATAGGTAAGTAGAGGGAGAACTAGACGTATCTTGCTAGACAACGAGATAATGTTGAGAGTAATAAGACACAACTTTTCTTTTTAGGTAATTGTAGTAATTGATAACACATATACCCAATAACAAACATAAATGCCTGAAATGACAAAAATCAAAAGGATTTAAGTTACATATAACAATTTTTAAATAACTTTTCCACCTAGAATGCTTATAACATAAAAGTCAAAATCAAAAGTAGTTTCCACATGTAAATTCAATATGAAAAACTATACTAACTTTCAAGAATTCATTATTGAATCAGAATAAACTCAAGAACCATGAAATCCACACACACAAAAAAAGCAAATAACATGCAACAACCAAGATGAAAATCCAAAAATCAATCACTCAAGAACCATAAAAGCCATAAAAAAGCAAATGAATAACATACACATTATATTTACTCCAAAATAAAGTTTAAAAGTACCTAAAACTAATTTACCTTAAATTAAATTGGATTTTAGAAAATCCAAACAATTTTTCTTCCTGTATTTCACTTCTTTGAGTATCATTCACCTTCTTGAGCTCCAGCTTTTCTTGCTCTGTTGTTTAATTTTATTTTTTTTCTCTTAATGGGGTTGGAGACAAGATTATGGCAAGTGGAGAAACTTCACCACTTACTATACTATTTTATATGCTAATGGAAACTTATTATATTAAACCATAGTACTAAACTCTTATGGCAGTTATAGAGTACTATATTATATTATATATTATTATAAAAAGTAAGAATAAACAATTCAAAGAGGAAAATAAAGTTAGCAATTGGCTAGAATCCACCAATAAGATTATGGCATGAACCATCTACCAAAGTAGTAGTGGTTATTATTGCATCACAATCTACTATCAATGTGAAAACTTATAAAATGAATCAATGCAGATTAAACAAAATCTTATTCCTTTTATAATAATTATTATGTATGTTCTAATTTATGCGAAGGTATTTGATTGATCATATAATTTAAGAATGAAGGAAAGATTTTTTAAATTTGTAGAGATAAGGGTGTGAAAAATATCTCAACTTTGGTCAAATTTGTTGTTGCGATACTAAACTTTCATGAGGACCTATTACCTCCCTAGACTATTTAATACCGTATTTTAAACATATATATTTGCCCACGTGGACATAAAAAATAATGCAAAATTATAAATAGTAATGTGTCCACGTGGGCACATATATACCTTTAAAATACACTACCAAATAGTTCAGGGGGTAAAAAATACACTATTAAATAGTTCAGGGGGTAATAGGTCCTCATGAAAGTTTAGTATCGCAACAGAAAATTCGACCAAAGTTGGGGTATTTTTCAGACCCTTATCCCAAATTTGTAATATAAAACTAAAGTCATAAATATTTGTGCAAAAATAAAAATATTAAAATTAAATTATACTCCCTTCGTTTAAAAAAATGACCTATTTTTCTTTTTAGCTAGTTTAAAAATGAATGACCCATCTTCTTTTTTGGCAACACTTTAGTTTCAGTTTTTCACGGACCACGTGAATGTTTAAGGCCACAAGATTAAAGAGTATTTTGATACATTTGACATAACTTTAATTTAATATCACAAAATTAGAAAAAAATCTTCTTTATTTTCTTAAATTTTATATCAAGTCAAACTAGGATATTCTTTTTTAAACATGGAGAGTAACTAAATATAGAAATATGACTTCCTTTAACAGACTAAAAAGAACGAATATTACGTAAATTGAGACAACAAAATATTAGACTAAAGATTATCTTGAAAATACAATATAAAGAAGACCTGATATTGAAAATTTAAAGTATTATATTCACATTGTTCTTCGAAAGATTTGAGTCTTTATTCCCTTTAGGAGATATGTCTAACACGAATCTAAATTAATTGGACCTAATGAAATTCTTCACTCAAGTTTGATTTCGTTTCATTTACCTCCTTTGTAGTAATGCGTTTTTTTTATCCCTCCCTCAAGAGCTCCTACCTTTGCTCTAGTGGTGACTCAAACTCACAATCTTAAGGTTGGGAGCTTACCATCTGATCACAATCTTAAGGTTGGAAGTGAGGGGTGCTTACCATCTGAACAATTCTCTCTGTCTTTTTCCTTTTGTGGTCTTGCTTACTTCTCTTAATTTAATTTTTTTTCTTGTAATAATATTTTAACCTAATTCTTATTAATTTCATTGACATATGATAACTATATTGTAAGCCTATTAGTATTGTACAACATGTTTTGATACTTGTACTAGAGACAAATATTACTAGTAAAAAGGTTATTGCCTTAGGAAAAATCATTTTGGTCAAAAAATTTGACCAGAATTTGGCCAGAATGGTATTTTACCTATGTTATTTTACTTTTTTGAACATTTTTATCTTTTTAATTTTAATACCTTTTAATTAAAAAATGAAAAAAAAATTAGTTTATTGTAAAATAAAAAAATATTATACACTTTTTAAATTTCTGGCTAAATTTTCTGGTCATTTAGCATTACTCATTGCCTTATTCTTAAGAGGTAGGTTAGTTTCATTCTTGCTAAATCTTTCCTTATTTAGGTTTTCTAATCTTTCATTCATAAATTAATTTTAATAATCCAAATTAATTAATTTTAATTTACAGCCATGCGTAGAGAAAGTGGTATGAACGCAACCCTAGAAAGTGGAAGTCCCCATTGGATAAGGACTCTCTTTATTTGTATTTTATTCCAAGATTTAATGTTGCCTGTCCACTGATTAGTTGGTGGATTTGCCTTTTTAACTTGGTTCTACTTTCTATACATTTTTATATTCTTAATTATGTTAAACCCTAAGTTTCACTGTCATAACGTGTTGGCTTTGCATTTGCACAAGTGTGTCCCCCCCCCCCCCCCCCAAATTTCAAAAAAAAAGTTGAATACTTAAATTATTAATCATATTGTTTTTCTTTCACCCCTTTTTTAGTTGTCTTTTTCAATCCTTTAGTGGTATGTGTCGTTTGGTAGCTGGTTTGGAGATGATTTATATATGTATTAAATTATGAATAAGTAATATTATGTTTGGTCGATAGTTAAGAGGTAAGTTATTCATATATAAAATTAATACGGTATTTGATTTGTAATTAGAAATAGCATATTAGACATATATAAGTTATGAGAGAAATTTATAGATTATTTTATGTGAATATTGAGTAGCTTATATATAAATAACTAAACCAACATTAATATATACATAAAATAATATATAAATTCTCTCATAATCAATTCCTGCATTATTAATAGTACCTGCATAATTCTAATCAACTACCAAACCACCACTAAGTTTTCCTCAAGAATTGGAAAACAGGTCTGGAAAGATTGAATGGAATTTAACAGTAAGTTAATTGACCTAATTGTTGTTATAATATTTTGAAAAAGAAATTATTTAATTGTATTATGTATATATGGTGATACTGCATAAGTTATTAGTAGGATAAATACGATTTGACATATATTCATATTATATATATACTTTTAAATAATTACGTATTTTACCATAATTAAGAGTTTTTATTATATATTGAGAAAAATGCACCTAGATACATGTATTTTTGTTATCATATACACTAAAATGGGGAGAGAGGCGAGATGGGGAGGGAAATGAGCGAGATAGTCATGTATGCTATATACATGCGAATCACATCAATACAAGCAAGATTTGTCTATGTATCTCAGATACTTATGAAATCACTTGGATACAGTATATGTAGAACAAATTATACTTAATTTTGATCTCATGTATCCCGAGATAAATGTGTCAAGATGTATCTGGACGCACCAAAATCTAATAAGATTCATAATATTGCAAACTAGAGTATATATCTAAGTAATAAACTCCTAAATTAGTGAGATTTTTTTAAGTTTCCCTTATTAGTAATACACTTACTAAAGGGATTACAATTGATAAACATTTTTCTAGTACATTCAGACCTATATATATACTCATCATTTATAATAATATTTCATCACAATAATTATGTTTATTTGGAATTGATCTTTCATGTTATATTATGTATATTCTGTTTTACAATATTTTACTATAACAATAAATAAATAAAATAGTATCCACACAAACAATGCCCTAATTAGGCCTTATCATATATATATGGAAAAGATAGACTATAGTTCAATTAAACGGTAACAATGCCCAAAAATAGTTGGATACAACTCCAAGAATTGTGGATAATAGGAGCTAAATTATGACTTCCAGTCCAAACATTTTGGCCACCTTATTGGGTTTTGTTGGGCTATTATATAGTATAAAAGTTCCTAAAATAGATTGTCAGCTCTGATAAATTATTGATATCAGCATCCTATTTTTTTAGAAATAATGTATCATTACAAAAGGAAAATTTTCGAAAATATAAAAAAAAAAATTGAAATATTTATGACATGTAAACCAATATATAATATTATATTTGGAAAAAAAATATTATATATAATATATCAATCTTATATAAAGTGTATAATAGTGTATAAAAAGTGTGTACACAAATATGGGTTACATCGTGTATTTACACACAAAGTATAAACCACGTGACGTAAACGTTTTCAAAAATAGACCTAGAACATAATTTTCCCTTAAAATGAGTCATATATAATAGAACCTCAACTACTAGGCACCTGTCACCTAGCCAGATAACCTACTCTGGTATATATTAAACAACGGTCAAATAATAGTTATAGCATTAATATCATGAAGAGTTAATTTATGAATTGGTCACTAATCAAGAATAGTTTACTTAGAAAGTCATTTAAAATAAAATTATAACCCTCCTCTTACCGGGATATCTATTATATCAAGATTTCTTTTTTGAGTCCACTAAAAGCCCATTTATGGCACGTTTAACCCGTTGAAGGTCAAATCATCCATCTGTTGATATATCACTCACAAAGTCACTTAATTATTTTAAGTGACATTTCAATTTGATTTTGTTGGTATGCAATTTTTATTTTAAGCTAAATTTATAAAAAATAACATGCTACCCATTTTAATTATTTTATTGACCCATTACACTTAACCCGACCCACTAAAACTAATGGTTAAATAAGCTTTACAATTTCATTTTTTGAGTTAAAATGTGTACTATATGAACTTGTGATCCACTTTTTATGTCCTCTTTAAATTGTCATGGTTCTAAAAATATTTAATTGAATATTATTTTCTTTATTCTTCATACTAACTATGTTTTAAAGTAATAATACTTGATTAAATAGCATACGAATACAAATAGAGTGCACATTTTTATTAAGAGCCGGCAACGAGAGTAATTTTAGTCATAAAAAAAATACTTTTTATTTATGATTTTCTAAAAAAGTATTAATAAAAACATAACAACTAAAGAAGGACAGAGAATATCATGTATTATCACTTTACCTTTTTCTCCCTTTTTTTATGTAAAATTTGTTTTAGGTATTATATGTGGCCTTTTCAAAAGTCTTTCAATCCTTCTCTTTGATATGTTTTTAAGGGTGTTAAATAGGTGATTTGAATTAATTTAAGTTAATTAAAATGTGTATAATTAATAAATCGGTAGGTTATTAATTTGTCTAAAAATTATTTGGGCTGAAATAGATTGAGCT